GATCGCTGTGTAATCATCACCTAGAATTTGTTTACTTTTGAAGCGGATGCAAACATAGTTATCGCGATAAACGCACGTATGACGACGACGACGACGACGACGACGACAACGACGATGTATACCGAATTATTATTTATCGCACCAATATCGATAGTGTTTGTGCTTCTCTTGTATATAATTACAAGTCATAATCCGATCCGAATCGACGTCACTGATCGGGATCAGTCAAGATCGAACTTTAATCGCATGCGTGGTATTTACGTAAATATGTACGATAATGCAGGATCATCTAATCGATTTCAAATAGTATTGGAAATTCTTCGTGCAAAGGATTAAATATGTTCACACACATATGCTTATAATCGATACAACTACGTTTTTACCATACAAGCCGCAAACAAGCATAGCCACTCGAGTAAAATCACAAGATAACAGTTTATCGGTTATAATGATTTGTCGAGCATATTTATTTGATTTGATAACTCTCTTTTTCTAAAAATAAAATGTTTCACAAATAAACGTAATTAGAAAAAATATATATATATAAAAAAGCACACAATGTTTAAAAACCGTAAAATCGAATATACGTATGTATTTGCAATTTATATAAAAGATATTACACTAATAATTAAATAAGACGCTAATTTTAGTCAATTAAATCTGCAATTATTTTGAAATAATGAACTATCAGCACGCAACAGAGCAATTCTGACAGATAATCTGATGATCGTGCTATTACAGTTTTAATTTTCTGAGATTTTCTTTTCTCGTTAGTTTTTACATGTGTTTCACATTTCTGTGAAAATTATTGAAATGACGTTAATACCTTATCAGTATATAAATGAATGTTGTATTCATCATAAAAAGGCGAAATACAAATGTTTGATAAGTTAAATGAGCAAATGCAGTAATCAATTTCATGCAATATCACGATAATAATACATAAAAATTGTAAATGCTAACAATATTTAAAAAATGTTTATAAATACAACATTTGTTACGATTTATATGACGTATCTGTTTACGCAACGTAATTTTCGTTTACCAAAATGTGTGCCTAAAAAAATCTACGTTTATTAAATTTTTCCAATGGTAAATTTCACATTATATTTTTTCTAATAAAAATTATAACACAGCTACCATAAAAGATAATACTATCTCAAGACAGAAGTTTCTCTCATATTCTCTCAAGAAACGTCAATGTAAATATATTATATATATATTTTTAATATTTCTCGCGAAATTAATTTCTAATCCTATCTTTCAAGTGAAATCAAAAGTGATAATTCGAATTCGTTTTAGTCACCTCTATAACTCGCACATAGAATTTCCGATATTTCTCTTAGACAACTTTTCTCTATCTCTAGCTTCCGCGTGCTTCAATTAATTTAAAATAAAGCATTGTGTAGAACAATTTAATCTGATACATGAGAATGAATTAAAACAGAGACGCGCTATATAAAAAATATTCTATTGCTCCAATTTTCCAAATCGAGCGCGCGCGCGCGCATTCGATATGCGCACTAAACTGATCCTTCAAAATACCCAATCAAGAGAGGCCGACTTCGCTCGCAAATCGGGTTTGTCCTAAATAAGATTACGTTTTTTGTTCTCCTTGACGCAATTAACGCCGACCATCAGTCGACTGCACGCAGACTGCCAGATGCAACGCGCGCGCTCGGCCACGTGCAATTGAGTTACGTTATCCATCAAACTCGCAACCAGCGTACACTGTCGCATTAACGGATCGATTTTGTATCTTAAAATGTTACGTACATCCACTGCCGCAAATTCCTCGTTCAGGTCATTTTTAAGGCTTAAGTTGAGACTTATAACGCTTAACATTCGACATTTATATGTTTATCACATAAGACGATTACTTGGGTTCTAAGTAAAAAAAAAAAAAAAAAAAAAACTGTCATTTAAAAAGAATATCTTCTATAAAATACGAACATATACATACGAACATATATATACAATGTGCTACATAAAACGTTAGATTTTGTAGCGATTGAATTGAGCTGATGAAAACGCGATTATTTTAAACTTTCGATGTTTTTCTTTTTCAAAATCGATTTTCAATAAAACGAATAAAACGTGCAAGTTTTGTGTAAATTATTATAAAAGATTCTTACATCCTACCAGTAATAAAACACCCATTTTACTGATAACAAAAGCTGTTTAATCAGCTAATCGCGATATTTACTACGTACGAAAATATTTGCCGCGTTTACGCAATGCCAACAAATATTGTTTGATTATATCGAACAGTATATTCTGCAGGACACACACTCGCGTGAGGACAAACGCTTTGATTATAGTCTATCTAGTGATGATTAATGCATGAACACCGTATCTCGTGCTATCTCCTCTTAACAACGCTCGTTTCAACTAAACTCTAAATGTTTCGAGATACTGCACAGCTTTTCTTCAAGAATCATTTGTTTGGTCTCTGAATTTCAACTCAAAGAGAGAACAAGGTGTTAAAATATTCAGAGAATTTAGGATTGCACCAAACACACACACACACACACGCCGCCGTTTGCGATTCAGCTGAAAAACATTCACACCCGAGTAAAGCAATGTTACACAGTTCTCGCGGACACACTCTGTGTGTTATTTAAAACAAATTGTATCACGTGACGCGCGCACCGGAACGTCAAAATAGCGGCCGCCAAATATCGTCCATCGTTATAAGATTCGATCTTCGCTTCGACGGACTTGGTACTCGATGTATTTTATTTTCGCAAACGAAAGACGATACTTCGTTGCATATACCTAATTTGCATAGTCTCCTCTCGACGTAATGTTTACCGCGAATATACACGCGAATAATCCTGAAATTTCCAGGTAGCGCGTGAGTTGCGATATAAATGATACGCGCGTAATCGTTTGGTAATCGAAAAAGAATGAGTCTGTCCGTCGGTATACGCAAACATTTGTCTTTAGGAAACGTGCTGTCTCTCGCTCATGAATGTTTCCAAGAAGACAATTTTTAGAAATGATGATCCAGATTTTATTTTTATAGATTTTATTTTTATAGATTTTATTTTGTAGAAAACACATGTTCGAGACATAACGCAACAGAATTTTTTTTTTTTTTTTTTTTTTTTGATATAAGATTTAATTAATTTTGTTCTATCAAACAAGGTAATCTAGATATTGAGTATAGATAATATATGTGTGTGTGTGTGTGTGTACACATTATCACTGATGAATTTCATTATAGAATTAATTTCATTGCAATTTGTATCAATCGATATTAAAAATACGACTACCAAGTCCTATCCAATACTTCGTTCGGCAAATTTAAGATTTAATGAGTTACCGCAATCAGTCGCAGAGAGATCGTTTCACACGCGGAAATCTTCGAACGGCGAACAAGCTTATCATACGGTAACGTTACGTCGATAATTTGTCGCAAGGTTCTCAAGGCTTGTGTTCTCTGATCTTCGAGAGGAACGTCCGGCGTTTCGATAAGCGCTAATTACCGGCGCTTGATGCGAACGTGTAAATTTCGACGCGTGCGCGATTGCTGGATAAGCAATATTCCGTTAAATCGATAAAAGTTAATCGCAATTAATATTTAACCGTTCGATGAACTGTGTTTTTCAGTCGTTATGTAGCGATATCCTCCCCAATTTTTCCTCATTTAATTTTACGACACGCATGTCAGTGAATTTCTGAATTTACTTCTAAATATCATTTATCAAACGAGATTACAAGTTTTATCATATCGCGAACATATCTTTACTTTAGAATCTCACAAATGATTAAATCTCTCAATGCCAGCTTTAAATTCGATGTTTCCCGAAATGCATATAAATGTATTCGCAATGATGCTCCGAGCGATGCGCGGTTTCTCGATAATTGAAATGTCGATGAATTAAACGACACTTCCGATTATGTACATCACTGCACCTAAAGTATTGACAAGTAGTTGTGAACAGTTCGTTCGAAATTAAACGATACGAGAAATTATATCTCGACGGCTGTGCAAAATATATCGTCACGAAACAATAAAATTGTACACAATGTTCAATTCAACGTTAACGATCCAACAATAAAGAGAGGCTTCAGACAGATATGTACGTATTCTGTTTTCAAAGGTATCCGCTTTTTGCAGCCGAACACTTTTCAGATTACGTGTAAATACACGTGATTGCACGTATAATTTTACTACGTGTACGTGGATGACACGTCTAAACCAGTTCCACGATCGTAGTTGAGCAACGCGTACGTAGTAGTCATTGTTGAGAGTAGACCACGACTTCGGAACACGTGTACACGAGGAAGTGACTGGCGGTGGTAAGCTGACGCGAGATGGTGGGGACAAACAACACGCGTGGTTACACGGCAACATGCGAGCCTGATAAAGCCACTTTTACCGCGCTCCTCGACCCCAGTAGCGAGTAGACGCGCGATATTTTCATGAGCTCCGCGATATCGTTTCCGAGTACGCGCGTGTAATAACGTAATATCTGCGATGTTCACACACAGGATACATCTCATCCGCTACTACTACTTCCCCGTCTTACTACTTGGAAGAATGTAAAGTCGGTTCTTGTTTTTTAAATACACACGGAAGAAAAACTGGTTTTTCTCACGGTCAGGTTAATCATTAAAATCCTTGTTCTTTTTTAGTCTTGAGTTTAAGGATGTTGATTCGAAAAATAATTTTTAAATGTAAAAAAAAAAAAAAACACAAATGACAGACGATCTATAACTTCGACTTAAAATTTAATATTAAAAGTAATCTTGAAACAGATTTGTGTGTATAGGCTTCAAATGATTCTACTTGTATGTCATCCAAGTTTTGTACACAATAAAAGAACAAGAGGGTTCTTCTCATCACTCCTGAGATTTTTTATCTTATCAGGTTAAATTTAAATACGTAATATTGTATAGACAATCCTGTTTATTGTACATATGCAAAATAAAAAAATCATAGATGTACCAAATCTTTCTCATCCAAAATTAAAGAAATGAAATGGACTTACCATTGAGACCATACTTCTCTTGATTCCTCTTTACTTGATCAGTAGACAATCCTTTATCAGGGTCGACATTAAAGTAGTTTACTACTTCTTCCACGGTTTTGCAATGGGCGTCCTCCATGATTACTGGTTTTTATACTGGTTCACTAATGTTATCCTCTCAGCGATTATATATGTTCATTCAAACTAACAGTTTCTGGAAGCAGACAAAAATCACTTATTAGATGAAATGTTCAATATTAGTTTAATATAGTGCATTGAAAATAGTCAAGAAACTATTAAGTAACATAAATTTATTACTGGAGAATTGTTACAAGTAAATGATGAACATGAAAGATCATATGCATATATAGAAAAAAAAAACTAATCAAATTATCTCGATGATTTCTAAATATACGTTTCTCTTCTCATGAAAATATAAGTAACAAGCTAAAACAACAGCTGCTAAGTACAGTTTCCTACAACGACGAAAAAACAATTAATTTCAATTAATTAATTTCAATACTAAAGTAGTGTTTACTTCTCTTGACGTACAAAATTGTTAATCGAAAATTGTTAATCGAATTAGGATCTAGTTTGACCTAAGTCTAATTCACAAATTCACTTCTCAAAATTACAATCTAATAGCTCTGGAGTTCTGCAATTCTAAATAAAAGCGATACGGTAACAAAACTACAGCTTTAACAGGAAGCTGATAAATTCATCATCACGAGATATCTCAAGATGAAAAAAGTTGATAGAAATTTTACAAGAGAACTCTGCTCGTCGGTAAACTCGGCACGCATTGGCACACGACGACGGAAGACGCGACTGACAGAGCAAGAAAAAGAGAGACAAAGAGATAAACCACACTCTACCGAAGGTGTCGTGACGCAGGTGATCTCGTCCCACGGTGTTCCGTTTCTTTGTAAACTTACACGGCGACAATTTCGCGTAACGAGTTGACGACGACAACCACAAAAACGTCGAGGACAAAAACGGAAGAGAAACACGGCCGCGCACTTCACCGCAGTCGCTTAGACTCACTGTTCGAAGCGCGACGTGTCCGCGCGACATGCACTCGCCGCCAGCTACGGTATTCCTCGGCAAAGTTCTCGAGCTCGCGTTGCGAGCACAAGGAACGAGAGAATCCGCCGCGTTGACAGACACGGCTGTCGTCGGTGACGACGTGTCAACGGGGAGCGAGAGAGAGACGGGAGTAGGATGGACAAAGAGCGAAAGAGAGAGAGGAAAGAGAAAAGACTAGAGAAGAGTAAAACACTAGTGGGAAAGGGAGAGACGATATCGAGAGAGAGAGAAAAAATTATGTTACGGCCGCCGAATATTTAGGTTAGCCGTACAGCGACGGCAACGGCGGCGGTAGCAGCGCGCGTGCTTATCCCGCGACAAGACAACCACACGACGGACTTTTCACGTATCCCAACGTAATATCCCCGTTTGTCTTTCTCGACGAACGGAAACTCACAGACAAGATTCTATAAACGCAAATATTTCCGAATCACACGCTCGAATTATCACGAGGCGCGGATGCACGAGACGCACGTCATTTTTCTCCAACGATACAACCAACACGACAACTGCTAACCTGACCTCCGCTTCCGCGAGACTGACACGGCGAATCGGGCGAATCATCGTGCGAACGTCAGCGCCGTCTGTTGGAGCGCGACGCCGATCACGGCTGCGCAGTGACGCGCGTCGGAATGAATTTCGACTTTTGAGCGGCCGCGACGTCGATTGATCGGCAATTGATTGCGTCGAAATATTTTTCAATCGTTTGCGGATCATTGAAATTAAGAAAAATGTCATTTACATTATTTTTCGCCGCTCCCGACGTGTTTCGACAAGCGGCGCGGCGACACGCGTCGCAGCGCTTCTCGCGGGTTAGAGAGCATGTGGAGCGACGCCATTGGTCGAGCGAAGCGTGACGCGTGCGACTATTTTCGGGCTTCTGCTAGGCTATTTCCTTGGCGCGTATTTTAAGATCACCGGCGGGACCGTCGACGGATCCGCGGCTTGTTGTTCTTACGTAATCGCGACGTCGTCGCGGTAATAAGTCGCCGACAGTGCGAGTGTTGACCGACGCGACTTCGATCCTTAACCCGACCCTTTTCGCGAATTTCCTCGGTGTTATCGCGATCTCCTTCCAAGTTCTCGCAACGTGAGAAATAGCGCGATCCACGTAACACGCGTTTCGAAGAGAAAACAACGCGCGCAATATTTTCAAAAAATAAATTTGCGCTATTTTTTAAAACCTATTTCGAATATTTTACGTACGACTGTCGTTCACAGCTGATTTTTTTTAATGGAATGGAGAAAAAAGATTGTTTAAATGTATTTTTCGTTGTCACGACGAAATTCAAGCAAACCACGGACGCGTATTACTGACATCAAAATGATTATTTGTGTTGACAAGTTTTACATAAATTTTGATAAAAAAAAGCGAAATCGTTTTAGTGGGAAACAAAATGTAAAGCGCGTTGAGAAACTTCAAAACGACACAAGGAAGGAAACACGAACAGAGATAAAGAGGTCACCGTTGTTCGATCGAAACAGGTTCAAGGTTAACGTGTCACAATCTAAAAATTTAAGTCAAGTTCAAAAGTACCGTAAACAAAGTCGTGCGCAATGAAGTTTGCAACTCGATTTGAATGACTGAACCTCGCGAAAAGGGTCAAACATCAGGATTGCGATCATCGGAAAACGTCCTGTCGAGCGTATCTTTCCTTTCAGCTAAAAATAGAACACAAAATTTGCGGAATAATTCTAGCCGATGAGCTTGCCAACCTTATGTAAGATTATTTTCGAAGCTGGTCGAAATTCCTTTGTCCCAATATTCGTATTTTTCACGAGACATTTATTCGGACATACGCCACCGAGTAAAAATCGCTGAAACATACGTGTCTATCAATTTTGCAACATCTTCCTATTGCTTATGGACATTAACTTCCAATGTTATAACTTGAGAAATTCGAAACAGCGCTGCTAGAATGTGACGATCGCTTGAAAATTTCGCTAGCATACTGGCGGTGCGCCAAAAGATGCCTAAAACGTATCTAAAAGCCGTCGGATATTTCAGACATTGTTTAGACATCTTTTCGATATTCCGTGGAACTTTAAAACAAAAGTGTCCAAAGAACGTCTCTAGTATCTATTTGTTGCACGGGAAGGATAAAGAGATTGTTAAAATAATTTATAAGGTGTATCATATATACTACGTGGTTTGTATTTATAAAATATTCTGTGACATTTTAGTCTCGATAAGTGTTTCGCACAACCGAGGTGAGACACATTTAAATGAACGTGTAAAATTACTTATTAAAAACAATTCTTCATCAAATTGTTATTTTTACACATGTAACTTTCACGCTGTATGATCTAATGTTATCTCACTACCGAATAAAGGGATTATAACAATGTAATCGATTAATTAATAATTAAATGCTTAAATTTAATAATGAGAATGATTAATTACGCATGTCATAAATTATCCCGCAACGTGTCACGGATGCATAATTTTCTCCTAAATATATTGAAATTATTTGCAATATATATATATTAACAAAATAATTTGCAAACGCAAATACAACACAGAATAAAATAAATTTGCACAAACAATGGCTGATTATATATGTTTCTAACGAAAGAAAAAGAATATTCTAAATGATTTTGTCTTCGGACCGATTGTGAATTATTACTTCAAAGAATTAAAAGACAATAACGCGAAAAGATTGGAATAAGAAACTTTTATTAATAAAATCGAAGAATGTATATTAAAAACAGCGCATCTACAAATTAATAAAGACCTCACCGAAATTGTTGGCGAGTGATTAATTAAATACGTCGTATCAATTCCCACGATACTTATCGTACGTCAGCTTTTTGCGTTAGTTGGAAAAGTCGGAGAGGAAAATACGATCAAAGCGAACTGTGTGAGTTCCTCCGAAGCGTTGACAAGTGGTTAATTAACACATGCGGTTCCCGTGAAATTCTCGTGTACATATTCATTCACATTTAAGACTGGGTTCACTCAAATTCGAGAGAGAAAAACAAACGCTTCTTATCCTCAACCGGCAGCAATCTCTTTCGCGACGTTTGCGTTCCTTCGTTAATTGGCACAGAACCAAGCTACAAAGCTCATAACAAACTCCATATGATTTCAGCAATTTTCCACAATCAACAATCTACCTCCCATAATCAACAATTATTTTGAAAACCCGTCCTCGTACATTCCAACGTTACTTATAGCCGCTATTACACATCGCAATTGTACGACGAGTAATTTCGACAGAGTAATTTCGTTCACCCCATGACGTCTCCGTTTCTTTCGGCAACGGGAATCGCCGCTCCGATTGAGAATTGAAAAATCGCGGAATGGCAGAACTAACCCTATGTCGGCGCTGGCGCCGGCTGACTTAATCCCTTTGTGATCGGAGCGCAGTGGCTCGCATCAGCTCGGCCTTGCCAGGACGAAAAACCCGGCACGGACTCGGCGACCGGTCGCGCGGTACTGTGCCACCACGACACGCACTCCGCTCTGCCTTGCGAACTATTTCTCACCCGAGGACTCTATCCGGACGACCAGCTCGCTCGCGAGCGCCCGGGACGCGACTAGCCGGCCAAATCGCGCGCGCATCCGAGCGGACGTTTTTAGCACGTCTTCGACGACGACTTCCTAATTATTTTGGCAGAGATCAGCTCGCGGGACGGGAGAACCGCTCTCCCGATCCTCGGCGTCGTCGCGCTCTGCTGCAGCCTTTTCCTCCTCCTATTCCGTCGTCATCGACGACTTCTTGCGCGTCCTGCCGAGAACCAGGGACTCTCGGAATGGTTTCTCCATTCTCGATCCCCGTAACATAAATTTCTATGCATTGCGAAATGTGACTGAAATGATTTATTGCTGCCATGTCTACTCATTTTGCTACAGTCTAAACAAAACTAATATCCTCTCTCAATTACGTTCAGTTGCTATTATTTTGCCATTGTTAATAAATATTTGACAATTAAATATATACAATGAGCGATATAAGCAGGCACTTCCTCGCGTAAGCCCATAGAAATGATTCGACTTTAACAAAGAGAATTAAACTTGATAACGCTGTGATATTGAGATACAACCACTTATTAAATTATCCAATTATCGAACGCACGCCTAGACCTCGGTAAAATCAATTATCTATTACTTTCTTTATTCAATGTACAAAGGGAATCGGATTTTTTTCTAGGTCGCGACGGTCTATTTCGTAATTCGTAGTGACCATCTTGCTCATCTCAATGAGCATTAAAAATTTATGGCAATTTGATTGATATAAATAAAAAAATATAAGATTATTAGCATTAATTGAGTTTCAAAACGTTAAAAAAGCACATAAGAAATGTTTTAGTTTCAGTGACGTTTAACAGAATAATTGCAACATATATAAAAAAAAAAAAACAATTTTTCTTTTAATTTTGAAAAAAAGCTTTGTAGCATCAGAGAAAGACAGTGAAAAAGCAGAAGACTTAAATTGCGTTAGTAATTAAAGTGTTTTTACAAGATAAATTTTCATTTCAGCTGGATCTTGTAGCAAAGCGTGAGTTTATTTTAAGCGCAGAAAGTGCAAAAATTATGGCCGAGAGAAGTGGACCTAAGTCGCGATTTGAGTGAGTACACCAGCGCATGGACTGGCGGAATCTATTTGAAGACGAGAGATGCAACATGTTGGACGGGCCGTAAGGATAAGAAACACCGCGCGCTTGTTGGCAAACAAGTAGAGCTCTCGTGTTCGCATGCGAAGACCGTTTTACATAGATACATGAGGATGAGGTAATCCACTTTGTCAAATTATCTAATGCTACAAAAAAGTATCTATAAAAAAATCAACGCTCCCTCTCTGTCGCTGTGCAACGTTCGTATACAAAACAAAAAAAAATGTCTAAATATGATAAAGCCCTCGCGAATAAAATTTATTTTGTGTGTTATCTAATTAGAAATTAGCCGATAAAATTAGCTGATCCCGTCTATATTTCCCGAGCAAATTTTGGTGCGGTGCTGTTTGGGAACTTGCCACGGAGTTTATACGAGCGGATTTAATCCATTTTGCATAATTGTTCCTCAAATATCAGAGGAGACCGTACGCTTGCTGTGCACGAGAAGGAGAAGCAACTTAACTGTATTATTGACTCGATCGTTCGTCGCTGGAGACAGCGCATTTTCTTCAACGTTCGTGGCACAATATCGCGACGTATTTATGTTATGCTATTGTGACGTGTTGACCATATGGTAATGTGGGCGCGTGTAAACGTGCTCTTCAATTGTCGACCGTGTTACGGATAGCGTGCGCGCATTAACGCGTTTCTTCGGATGACATGAAATCATCCATCAAAGTATTTCTGCCCCAAACCCATCGCCAAAGATAACAAGAATGGCTTTGAAAATATTAAAAATAGCGCCGCTATGACACGCGGCCAGAAATCGTCCGAGATTTGAAGAAATGCGAAAAAAGAAAGGACGGAGGATACATTAAAATGTTTCGCGTTAAGTGTTTCACCGTCCGAAAATATATCGCGTGAGACTCGAATAAAGTTTTTCTTGTTCGGCAATAAATAAAATTATTAATCTTCAGTTTAGCACATTTCTTCGTCGCAGCAATCGCATGATTACGTCGGTTATTAAATATCCGCGTTGTGTACCGCGTTTACTGCGGAGCATAATTAACCGGGCGGCGGTGTTTTATAATGCTGTTTAATTATAGAGTTCAGGATTGCACAGATTACTACGCGACGTTGAGTCGAGATAATTTCCCGGTCTGCGAAAATCTCTTTACGCGCGCGCCAACGTAGTGGTGACCTACAAAAACCAAAATGAATTCTTGGCTCTAGCTATTATAGGTCGCGTAATACGCGACGAGTGCTAACACTTCAACAAGCAGTTTTCACACGATTCCACGCACGATCGGGGACATACGGCGATTTACGACGAATTTATTGGCTCGTTCGACGCGCTCCTCGCGTATCGAGCTTTGGTATGCGCAAAATATTTTCAGCGAGTTGAAATATTTTATTTTTTTTTTCCCTCACGAAACAACGAGCGAATTTTAACCGCACGTTTCGCTTCGCAAGCACTTATTATGCAACCGTGTTTCTGTATATCGCGACACACCGAAACAATACATATGTTGATATAACAAAAACTGAAGATTCATGTCAATTGTTTCGCCGCGATTTTTGTGCATTATTGATTCAGATGATTTTTAATAAATAGACACTATAAAAGACCTTAATTAAAAGACACTTAAGTACGTTTAAAAATCAATTATAACAATTTGCCTTAAAAATAAATTTCTTTGCCAAAAACTTAAATATTTTTATCTACGTAGTTATATTAAAGTTTTCATTTGAAATATTAAAAAAAAACGCGAGATAAATGAGAATAAATTTCGCACAAAAGAAAATCCGCGCGTTTCCAGATTAATTAAACTTCCACAAATGTACAGCTTATGAATCAGAATCACTATAAAGCTCAATGAAATAATCTTTTGTCTAATTAAAATAATCAATTCACTTCGACAAAAATGAATTTTCTAGTAAACTCAATTACTATCAAGTTTTTGGAATAATTTCAAATTTTGCAATTATATTCCAATGATAACGGTGCGAGATTTCGCGATCGACCGAACGAGTTGACCTTCACTATAAAGCGAAGTTGTTCAACGCAACTCAAACTTTGTTCAACAACGATAACGGAAAGTTATTCACGATAATATAATCCTTCATGGTTATTCCTCGTTGGGTTGTTGTCACTGCACTTGCTTTCCGCCTCACGCGTTCTCCACTTTGGAGACTGAGACTTCGGTCACTGCGCGTGGTAACACAAAGGACACTATATGCAACTTTGCACCCCATGGTCGCGTAGCAGGTGGACTTACCAGTGCTTCTGTCTTCACCTCTTCAACTTATTATTTTTTTTTTTTCACTCGGAAGTGCTGCGCGGGGGTGCGGGCCACCCCCGAGAAAAACCGTTTCACACTGCTGTCTCTTTCTGATTTTTTTTTCTTTCAATCCACTTGACTACTCGTCGGTGCGCATCGTCGGTGCGTCGACGCGCCGTTCTCGACTAGGACCTCTACGTGCAGGAGAGTCGTATACGCGACGGAAAAGGGAAAGCGAAACAAACAGACATTCAAAAGGGGGCAACGCCTGCGCTGCTGAACAAAACGAAGCACCGAGCGACCGCGAAATTCATTTAAATAGTCCGTAAGCGTCGCTACCTGGTGGCGAGACAACGAAACGAGGAAAACCCAACTCTGGCCGGAAGCCAGAGCGGTCCCGGCGGTCGTAGAGATGTCGTCTTGGGGTTTTTTTTTTTTTGCGTTTAACCTTCGAATTCGAAAAGGAGAGCAAGAAAGAAGAGAGATAGAAGAAGGAGAAGATCAGACATCGTTGTTCAAAAGATCCAAATGTATCATAAAGATTTCGCTTTTCGTTCATCGAAGTCCATTTAAAAGAATAAATACTCGTGAAGAAGACGAGGACAAAGTCATTATAGTCTTGAAGTAATTTCTTGTGGTTGTTTGCGGAACACGTAAACAGTGTTTTCCAGAAAGTTAGTAAGAAGAGTGAAGACTGATGGGTTATAGAATCCTCTTTCGTTAAGACAACGGGGGTGGAATGTTGTTTCTTCTTGAGATAATAAGAGGGCTGAGATCAAGTAAAGAAAACTCTAGAACTAGATAAATCAATAGATAAATAGATGGATAGAAAAAGATAGATAAATAGAGAGAGAGAGAGAGAGAGAAAGAGAGAGAGAGAGAGAGAGAAATAAATAAACGCAATATTAGATTATCACAAAAAGTAATTACTTTCAGGAAGAACTAAGTTTTTTTTAGAATTAATGGTCTGTGTTATTAGTATTTTTTTATTTAGACACAAAAAAAATATCTGTTTTTTTTTAGACATCTTATAATTATTTACTATCAAAAACATCATATAATAACAATGTTTTTAAGTAATTCCCATGGGATTCGCAAACTTCATTATAAGTATGTAACCATCCATCAATTTCGATACAAATCGAGATGCGAAGAAGCTTAACGTCTCCGAACGCGACTATTTCGGCGTAAATATCCTATAAATAAGATCAAAGAGGTGTCAATATAAAAGTGAGCAAAACAATTTAACGTTTTATATACATCTAAAACGATTGCGTTTAGGTTCTAAGCTATAAATACGGTAACTTCGATCTCCGACAGCGTTCCCTCGACATTATTCTTATTAGAATTATACAAGGCGAGCGTTTTCCACAAGAACGAAAATAGTGGCGAAATGACTGGCGGATATCCAAGTGCAATATCGCGAACGAACTCGAGGACAATTCACCGCGAATATTCTGAAATGTGCTCTTCGGCCGTCCATTTTCGATCCTCGTGATCAAGGTCCTTTAGCCGCGTCGTCATCGTTCCGAATATTCTTCCGGACTTCGCATATTTTCTAATGTTACAGTGATATCGCAAAAAATCTCGAAGAAAATTAAGAAGATGGCACGTAGGAACGCTTTCCTACGTAATTAAACATTTTATAGCGATTTACCTTTCCTACACTTAAATTATATATTTTACTTTTGACATAAAATTTGACAGCTCATGCGCAACATGCGCGTCATTATTTTGCATCGAGACAAGATAACTCATAGTTCGCGGAACACAAAAAAACGAAGTTATTGTACTCCGATAGAAATGACGCAGAGACGTTTCCGCGAGTACAAACATACTTTGAAAGGCATAAAAAAAAGTGAGTCGCAAGAAAGACCTGATTCTCGAATCCCGAATGCTTTTAAATGTATTATGACCTCGTGGCTCGGCGCGTACACTTCGCACGTGAGGTATCACACCGTGTGTGGAAGTGTTTTGTCGAATTTGCCAAGTCCTCTTTATCGTTTATCTCGCGCGTACCTCGAAATATTGCGTTGCAATGCAATACAGTAATTGTAAGACCTTAAGTATTCCGCAGCGTTCCAGTTTTATCTGTTCTCATCTTTTCAAATGATGGCGTCAGCCGCGATGTGTTACGAAATTTCGAGTTCACGAAATTGCTTGGCTCGAGCTTCCCCGGCATTGTTCAAAGAAATGAATGTTGCAGTACAGTGAAATTTGTGATAGTAGGTACATTACTTTCTTACACTAGAAAGAATATATTTGTCGAATTTTTTAAGTGCGACCGAAGAATTATATTTTAATCCTTTGTGGACATGGACCTCAGAAATGACGACCAGTTGGACAAACTGAGTCTGCGAGATCCACGCGACTTTAAAATCGCATACCTTCGCGAAAAATCAATATTTTTTCAATTTTTTTTTTTTTTTGTGAATCGAAAGTTTGAACGATTCTGCGTTGATAAAAACAATTGCAAAAAAGTCTCTAGTAGTTTCGAAAATATACCTAAGCGTTAAAAAAACTAATTTTTACTATTTTTAATTTTTACTCATTTTTACAAACGTCGGTGTGCGCAAGTTTTTCGAAGGGTTATGATTTAAAACTTGATTTAAAGGTGCACTAATTTTTACATTATAAAAATCATTTAAAGACGAGGAAAGATTGGGTAATAAAATTATATATACGAACTCTACCAAGTGTAACGAATATGCATTTGACTGCATTTAATGGGCGATAAAAAGTAGATATACGCGAAGAATAAACATATCTGCTTTCGTTCTGCGAAATGAAAAGCGATTTTTTTTCCTCCACGATCAAAATAATGAATCGACACGCGCGAGCTTTTTACAACAACTTTTTTGTTGCGAAACGAACAGATGAGAATAGATCGGGCCCGGAGACATTGGGAGTAAGTGCGAAAAAGTGTGTCATAAAAGCGGTGTGCTTTCCAAGAAGATCTCTTCGTCGCAATACACTTCAAAGATGAAGCAACGAGCAGTCTAAACGCTGGATAAACATGTCGGTGCCATATACGTTTTATCGCGAAAGTTAGTACCTCAAATGCGTTTGTTTTAAATACGTCAATGGACGTGCGGTGTTAGCGATTACGTTTCGGTAACAGTGTTCTGGAAATACTTGCGCAGACAAGTCTGTTTTCCCAATACTGAAACTTACAATCAAAGTGTATTACTTCGAAACTACAAACATCTCGCGTTTAATATCTCGCATTTGTGTCGATTCATCTTTTTTTCACTGTAAATAAGAATGAAATATCGGTGATAAATATTCACAATAACAATAATCATCATTCTGCGCATCAGTTTTATCTACATTTTCTTTACAAATCTTCAATTTGATGCACAATCTCGCAACTTTCTCACTCGTTGTGTCACACATATGAATGTTTATTCAGCAGATAAGAAGCTGTACAGCGCGTGTATTACAAATATCCAAAATGTCTATTCTTTCGTTTGATTTGTGCATGTAATCGTTTTGCAGATATCAAATTTCATGTCGCATCCAGATGAGATTTTATTCCGCGTATAAAGTTGCGAATAAGATGCAACATTCTTATTGGCAATACTGCGCGTGTGCAAAACACCCATCAAAATTAAGTAAATACACGCGCATTCGAATAACAGACATATATACGCGTTATATGCCATAAATCGACAAGCGGGCCTTGAAGTTGCAACAGACGACTGCCACCCGCCTGCCGAGAAGATCGAACTGCCGGAACCAATTGAAGACACGACCGTCCCCATGAAACATTCGCGCTATCAGGATTCTCTCATTATAGCAAACGAAAATAGACCTTGTTACTTCGTCGCTTACTTTACTCTGAACGGTGCGGTTCAAAGCGCGGTGATATTCTTAGCTAAAACTCGAAGTCTTACGTAAAACCGACCTGAGACGTACAGCGACGTTTTTGAAGTGTCACTGGAAAGCTGGAAACGTTTTTTTCGTGTTCGATGTCTGAGGCTCAATTCGATGAATTCGTCAATTCCGGAAGGAGCCAGATAAGTCATCTTACAAGTGCACAGTTCGAATGATTGTTCTGAGAAAGGTGATATAATAAATAAGAAACTTCTCTCATGAAAATCAGTAATACAAAAACATTGAAGGATTCTAGTCAAATTTTAATTTTGTTAATAAAAGCAATTGCATACAATTACATCTTTCTAGTAGTAAAAATATTGCCGCGTTGTACTTTCGATAAATAAAAGAAAACGGTCTATGCGCTCTTGTTTTCGCGACATCATGGTCCAAAACCTCATTTAATAATAGTTTATCAAATTAAACACGTGTTTCGGCGAAACACGTTATTCGTCGCTAATGCGAATTTTAGAGAAGTCGGTTTAAATATAGAGCCGGAAAGCATTAGGAGCACGCGCGTCGATGGTAGTAAAGAGAGAAAGAGAGAGAAAGAGAGAGAGAGAGAGTCGTATTTATTTATAACGATTTTTATAAATAAAGTGCTAAACAACCATGATGAAACCACCTGCCAGACGAAGAAGCGATCGATCATAGCGTACGTATTTTATAAAATGAATGCAAATACTCTCTGACAAACCGACGAAGTGCTGCTTATTCTGATCGTGAGTTCGTGCCGAGTCGACGTACACACGCAATGAATAATTGACATTCGATTGGCTCATTCATAAATTCTATTCGTGTTTAACTTTGACCACGTTAATCAACGTCGTCGGGTCTTCAAAGTGACGCGAGAATATGAACGTATGGCGCTAAACGCGCCACACATTTTCATACTACATTTTTTTCCGAAAAGAAATGAAGAAGTAATTTTAGATTACAGCGCAGCATCCCATATTTATAGGATATTATTATCAAAGAGCGGTTCACATCTCTCCTCATTCGCTGAACAGATGAGGTCTGTTGCTGCTAAAAGCCGCTTTCAACGTCAAACGACATCATCAGCGTCCGGAAATTATCGCCGCGACAGCTCGAACGGAGATAACATCTCTGTTGTTGAGGTTTTTTGTCAATGTATAAAAATGAAAAAAAAACAACCAGAACTTAAACGTGCGTAAATCTCGAGAATATTAACTCTCGAATAATACGTACGTGTGTGTGTGTGTGTGTGTGTCGAAAGCAGCTAAGCTAATGTTTATTTCGCGAAATTGTCTGGCGCACACAAAAAAGGAAACAGTTTTAGTTTCAATATTTCTCGAAAAGGTCTTGAATAGAATTAGGAAATGAAAGAAAAGTTGTATACACTTGAGAGTAATATTTGAAGTCCGAACTTAGAATGAAGACAAACATTCG